GTTGTGGCAGGCAAGCCGCTCCCGCCTGTTGATTATGGTTTCTCGGATGACCCGTCTTCCCTGCCTCCCACACGGACTTCCGCTTCGCCATGACCGTCTCGACGGTCTCCGAACGCGCCCTCGGCATCGTCGACGACACCAGTTTTGTCCAGTTCGGTTTCGACTCCTGGTACTGGTGATTTACCCCCTAACCCCTCCACGCCTCTGGCTCATGAAGTGGATTTTACGTCTCCGACGCATACTGCACCTTCGGTTGCTCCTGCTCTGCAATCTTCTGCAGCCCCCGACTCTTCGGAGTCCCCGCCGAGTTTGGTTTCGACTGCGCTCGCGAATTCGCCTTGGGTCTCCACAGTTGCTCTACCTTTTGAAGGGTTGCAGTCGACGCCTCAAGAGTCGGTCCCCTCTTCTATCGAGGCGGCTCTGCATTCTTCGGCTGATCTTAACTTCCGGGCGTCTGTCGAACGTTTCTCGCATTCTGATTGGGCTCGCGAGCAACGCAACAAACCTGTGTGATGAAGCAACTCGTTTCATCCTTCTGGGTCGGCCCTCGGCCCTCCCTTCGGAATACATGGATCATATTCAGTCCGCTCTTCGACCCTCTCTGTCGGAGATTCGTGACCTGTCTAACAGAGGCCGGTTACGTATTGACGATGATGGTTTGGTCTTGCTTGTTCGCAAACCGACAGCGACCCCGTCGTCCATATCCACACGTCCTGGCGAACGTGCTACTCGTCTCCTCAATGATTAATGAATCCATTCGGATCTATGTTCCGATGCTCATGCGTCCGTGGATCATGCAAGTCTGCCACGCTGACGCGCCCTGCCACCCCGGTGCAGCTCGCACGCTTTGCATGCTGGAACCTTTCTATTGGTGGGTTGGTATGAGTGTTTGCACGAAGTGGTGGGTGCGGCGTTGTTTGCGATGCCAAGCGCGCAAATCGTCGTCAGACTTCTCGATGGCCTACTTTGTGCCTTCCGTTGCCACCGGGCCCTGGTGTGTCGGTGAGCGTCGACTGTTTCGGTCCCGTCCCGTTGGCATCACGTGGAAACACATACATTCTGCTTTTCACCGATCGCTTCAGTCGCGGTTCTGATATGTACGCGGTGGCAGCCGCAGAATTCGCAGCTAAAGGCGCCGCTGACATCCTTGTCAAGCGGTATATCCCTTTGTGGGGTTGCCCGTTGAGTCTCTTGTCTGAAAACGGCTCCCAGTTTTGCCAGGCTGTGTACGCCCGTCTTGCTATTCGCAAAGTGGCTACAAGCTCTCACCATCCCGATGGAAATGGGAGTGTTGAGCGTGTCGAAAAGCACTATGGCCCAGATGTTAGCTGTGGTCGTCAACGAGAGGCAAGATGGTTGGGACACTCATCCGCCGAATGTCGAGCTTGCCTACAATAATTCGGTTAGTTTGCCTACTGGTTCAGCGTCCAACGAGGTGCACATGAACCGATTGCCGCGTCTGTCGATGACTGTACTTGAGCACCCCCATGCTCGCGGCCACCAAAGCTTGAATCATGATCAACTTGAGTATTGCGATCTTGCTGCTGATCGCCAACGTGGTTCTTATGGCTTGGTGCGCGAAGAGCACAACTTCTCCGTTTCGCGGATCAAGCGTCGGAATTCCGCTCTTCCGGACGCTTTACGGAACCTTCCCTCTTACACTGTTGGTGGATGGGTTTGGGTGTTCAATTCTGAATCCACCATCCACCAAGGTGTTCGTTCAGGCACGGATGACAAGGTTCTTAAAGCTATGTTGTCTTTGCTCTGGACTGGCCCGTTCAAACTTTTGGCTGTGGGTCCGTGTTCTTACGCACCCGACGGCCGTCCTTTGGCTTCCAAGTTGCTCTACTTTGGATCTTCCGTTGGACCTGCTGGACCAAGACTGGAAACGTCGCGTGTCAGTTGTGCGTTGAAAGCCTTTCGCTAATCCGCATGATGCCGATGACTTGCCACGATTTCTGCCGGCCGATCCTACGCCGTACGTGCTGAACTCTTACGCGAACAAATCTCGACCCTCCTATGTTACGGAAGACTACGTATCGACTCCGGTCGAACGTCTCGAGGTTGAAAGCATTAATGGTACACCAGTCCGTTCGTGGCCATGGTGACACTACAGTTAGCGCCCGCAATTAAGAAATATTTTGTTAAGAAATTGAGGCTCACTTTTTCACGAAAAATAAGAAAACAGGCTTAAGAAACATGGCTCAATCTGGGTCACACAGTAAGAAATGTCTCAATAAGAAACACAGCAGCGACTGCTGCCCTACTACATGAGAAACGAGGGGTTACGGGGGAGTGTGTCGAATAAGAAACAAACCCCACAGCTCTCTCGCTCTTTCCCCCTCTCCCCCTACCCCTCCCCCCTCCCATAGTGCATTATTATTAGTTGTACGCCGAGGGGGGAGTGTTTTTTTTTGCGGCGCCCCCTCCGGCCCCCTGCGGGCTCTGCGCTCTGGTCTGCTGGCGCTAAAGCTCTGATTTTCGTTGTTGGCATGCCAGCGTGCGGGTGAGGCATCATGCGGTGTTCATGCATTTGTTTACTTTCAGCCCTCACTCATGAGGGGGGTACAAGACCTTGTAGCGATAGCAAGACGTTGCCGTTGAATACATTTCGCCTCTAGGAAGTGGCCTTACGTGCAGCCGTCGGTAGTGAGAATCGGGGTTGAGTACGGGAGGCGAGGAAAGCAGAGAAATAAGAAATGCCGATTTAAGAAACTCAGCAGGATTTGGCTGCACGAAGAAATAAGAAACATGGACATAAGAAACTGAACGACATACGCTGAGTTTATAGCCCACAATAAGAATTCGAGGCTGGACCTGAAATAAGCGTTTCTTAATTGCGGGCGCTAACTGTATGTATGGCTGTCTTATACCAGACATATTGGAAAGGTCTTCTTCGCCCTTACTGGGAGCGTGAGATGGATCTACAGCACTCCAAGCCGCACATTCTTCGGTACTGCACAGGTTCGCCCACCAACATGGCCAAACGAATCGCCGATATCGTGCGATGCGCATTGATGGTGCGGCTATCCGAGAATTGGCGCGCGCTAAAGGAGAAAGCTTAGCCTTCGGGCTACTCGTTCGACCTCGTTCACCATGGGACCGTCGTTTCGCCAATACTCCTCCACCTGTAGGCGCCTTCTTCTGGTACGAAACGCTCGATGGACTCTGGTGTTTGGGCAAGATCTCTGGACCGCCTCTACCGTCCGACTTCTTCGCCGTCCGCTTCTTGGACGGCCCTAGATCCGTTAAGCTCGCCCTTCCCGATGTCCGTTACTCTACCATCGAAACCGCCGTCTCCGGATCCTGGTGCTTCCAAGTTCACAGAAGCAGCAGCGACGTGTTTGAAGGCATTCTTCGCAACACCGACATGTCGCGTGGCGGCTTTGTGACCGATTCGTTACCTGATGACGTCGCGCGCACTCATTAATTAAAGATGGCATGCTTGGTTGTTTGTGCCTATACTGTTGCTTTTAGCGTTGATTTTGTTTTCGTTCCCTTTTCGTCTCTGTGTCTTTAATGTTTGCGGACTGGAGGGGTTTCGTACCCTTTGTTGTCGCTCCTACGCTACACTGTGGCGATTGCCTGGCGTAACTTACCGTTTTGTCCATACATGCCTTTTCGTCGCTCCGACGACGTTCCTTTTTCATCATCCCGACGCGTCTTTCCTTCTTTTCTTAGTGTTCTCTTTTCCCCTTTCTTTTCGGTTCCGACCTATTCCGGCAATTGTAGCCTTCCCTTAGCCTCCAGTGTGTTCCTTCCTGTTCCTTCTTTTGTCTTAAGGGCCGATGGTCTTGCGACTTATCGTGTGAGAGGTGTCGGGGGGTTAATTGTGCTGTTGTTTTGGAGCTCCACATCCTCGATACTCTCATTTCGGGATTCGTCGAGCTCCGAGGTTTTACAGTATCTGCGTATGAGAGCCTCCAGAGCTCGTTATAGTGTTATACATACAGTAGTATTACCAGACGTGTAGGTGGAACATTCATGGAATAAGACAATGATTCCTGCTAGAAGTAACTCGCCGCGGAAGGATAAAACAGGGGACAGGATCTAGTAGCCCCTGCTTGAACAGAGGACCGTTCCCCCCAGTTGTCATTCTCCTCTACCGTACCCAAGGCAACAGCTGCTGCTGTTCCGCACGAACAAGTGAGTTCTTCTTCATGGGTCTCCCACATCGCACCACGTGTGCATACCTTTACAAAGATAGACAGACTCGGTGCTGAGCATGTATGTTTGTTTGAGGAGCGTGCTTGATTCGACCAGCTCTATTCTTTCACGGTATAGATTATGTGCTTCATATCTCTGAGATCAGCTGTCGTTGAATGGCAACTATCGGAATGATGTTTATATCACTGATGATTGGATCAGCTGTGTATGCAGTAGACAAAGAAAGGGCCAATATCCGAATGGTGTCATCCGATTTACAGGAGTTCACAAAAAAAAACTCTAGTCTATTAGCTACCGCTCCATAGAGTGTGAAGAGTACTCACTTGCTGCGCAGCCCCTGTCTATTGCGTATCCGTGGATGGTATCCGCGCAAGTTTACGCACGGGCAAGTAGGCACAGGGCTGCATGATAATCTCGTATTAACCGGCGCGCATTATCCACCACAACCAAGACAACTCCCCGACGTGCGACAATTTCTTGCAATCGGACTCCTTTTAGAGCACACACCCGAACGAATAATGTCATTCTGGCTCAACACCCAGTCACGCGTCGCAATTCCTCGCCGCTTTCGACAAGAGCAACTACCGGGGCCTCCGTTGAGTGGTCGGCAACAGCACCTCGTCTCACGAGGAATAGCTCTGTGGGGAGGCCATCGCTCCTTCAGTCGAGTCGACTCCTTCAGTCGAGTCCGTGTCCGCACACTGACTCATGATAAGTAAATAGCTCTGCACCACCTGTTCGCTGCTGCTCTCCCCCGTTACTCCAACAACCAACGACGGCAAGAAGACGTATTCCCACCAACTACTCTGCAAGAACTGCTTCAAGTCAGCAGGATGGCGGGGCAGCCTGCCCGCCCCCCCGGATCGCGGCGGGCATGGGAAGGTGAGAAGACTTTCAAGAAAGACGTTCTTTCACAACACATAACGAACATGCGGACATGAACGGTTTCACTCAGTAAACCGTGACGAGTTGATCTACCTATCCGCATTTGTGGCGGTGTGCATCTGTGCTTCCGGCCCTGCTTTTTCGTTGCACATACGCACAACGAGCATTACCTACACGAAGCGCGACGCAGATCGACATCAACACGAAATGATGGCCGCGAGGTGTTCGGTTTCAAAAGGACTCGGGCAGATACAAGTCTTTCGGGGAACTGCTGTATCACACAACAGCGCTAGGAATGATTCACGAAATTTCCGCCGTTTTTACAGTATTCCGCGACCGTCTCCGCCGTTCGCAGGGCCGTTGGGCCTTGTTTTGGGCCGTTGGGCCTTGCATATTTATCGGCGCCTGTTGTATATGGTATATGCGACGACCGACGGCAGAGACAGCAGTCGTCGCCACATGGCACATGCGTGGACGACGTGCGCTCGCTCGTGATTTGTGTGTGAGGCGCGGGCATGTTGCTGTTGGTTCGCGCACATATAATAAATTTGCATCATCATTTGTATGTCTGTATGTCTATGGGTGGCCAAGGTGTGCCCCCTCCTCTGATGATGCTGCGACTGCCGAAGAGTACGCGCATGGTCGCTGCCTACACACGCAGACGCCTTCCGCGGTTGCGGGCTAAGTATATATTGTGAAGAATCGGTGAGCAATAGTTTTAAAGGACCCAGCGAAATCAACCAACCGCGAACAACAAAAACGTCAGACATCTCCCCGTCGAATCTCCCCGTCGAACAAAGAACGTTATTGGGTAATAATGAAAACATTGGGTAATAATGAAAACATAACGAATATATATTATACCAAAGTAGGCCATACGCATACCATGGTGCATGAGGCACCATGAGGCGCCATCAGACTTCATGAGGTCTCATGGTACTCCAGGGGAATAATCTCATGGGATCTCATGGGGCCTCATGACATCCCATGAGATCATTTCTTCATGTCACCCGATGGGGTCCGATGGGGAATCCCATGCACCATTCTGACCAAAAAAGGAAAAAAATGAGATTGCATGCCCTACGACTAACAGGGTGCCACACACAAAACGCCCCGACTACCCAACAGTACCCAACACCTTTCTGCTACACCTTCCCAACATAACATATATGAGACACACAAGACAGCTACCAAACTGTTTTGTTGAGCCTGTTACACGCAGGGGAGATGTCCCTATATGCTGTCTGGGAAATCGTAGACATGCAGGTAACTTCTTCTGACGCTATGAATTCATTGCCAATCTGTCTCTGACTCTTTTGTATGATAGAGATGGATTCGTTGTGTCATATTAAGAAAAAAAATGACACCTCATGGCGCCCCATGGGAACCATGGCGCAGCGTGCGTGAACAATGAAGAAGCAAAAAACAAGAAAAACGGAAGAGAGAGCAAAAGAAGCCCATGGGGCAGAATGAACGCCCACCCATGAGGTTCTCAAACCTTGCGCCGTAGTACTCGATGAGGCACCATGGTCACCATGTTGCGTCATGGTCGCCCATGAGACCCCATGAGACACCGTGAAACGCTATTGTAATGGGGCCCCATGGGATCTCATGGAATCTCATGGGCGACCATGTCATTGGGATCTGACGGGCCAACATGGCATTTGTTATGGTTTCTTTTTGGTACATGCTGTCCCATGAGATTCCATGAGACCCCATGAGAAGTGTCATAGGGTCTCATGGGGCCCCATGAGATCTCATTAGAGAAAGATCATATCGTGGTGGCCCACGATATCCCGTGAGATCCCATGACACGCTTGTAACGAGGCCTCATGGGATGCCATGGGATCTCATGGGACACCATGAGATTTCTGAAGAGATATGCCAGCAATTTGCATGGTTTCACGTTGGCCCATGAGACGCAATGGGGTTCCATGCCGTGACCCAAATATGTGCAGGCCCCAAAACTTCGAAGCTTGCAGGAGACACTTCGGAGAAGGAAGATCGGCAATAATAGACATCGACACACAGAACCCATTTCCCACATTCGACACACGAAGTCAAGCAGCATTAACACAAACTAGCCAACAGAAGCAAAGCTCACCAATCAAGTGCATTTCACCGCCGCCGACGGTTTGCACCGGCCATGCCATGTCCCCACAATTATACCACCCATAAAAAGGCTCAACTCAGGTCACAGGTGGTACCTGTATGCTGTATTCGAAAACAGAATGATCGAGAGTGTAATAGAGAGTGTATTTCCCGCGTCTTCGTCTTGGTTGTTTTCCCTGCGATCCCCTGTATAGAAATTGCCAGTCATGGCAATACCGCCATATGGTGCAAGCGTAACTTGACCAGATTCACTCCGACATGGGGGGGCAGAAGAAACTGTTGCCCCACCCTTGCGAAAGTTGTGGTGGGGATGTTGCTGGGGGTGGGCGTGAGGAGGTCTTCTCGACGTTTCGTCCCCAGCGATCTCACCAGTTGACGATCTAACTTAGGACATTGCACCTCGTGTGTGTATGTAGTCCGACACTGAATTCTTCGTCGGAAAGTACCCTCGTGGTTACCTCGTGGTTACCTCGTGGAGAACTAGGATAAGAATAACAGTGCTCTCTCCTAAATCACTTGCATTTCCCTGCCCCCCCCCCCCCCCCGTGCACGCCTCCCTCCAACGTGCGACCTCTCTCCCGGCGCCTGGTTACCTCGGCGAATCGCAATAAACACGCAACCACCGCCAAAATCAAACTCAGCGGAAAGCTGGTGTCTCCCTGCTGCGTGTTGTCTGTTGGGCCTCCTGACTGCATCATCTTGGGTCCTCTCCGTTGAGGGCGCTGGGACGGCGGCCTTCGAAATCGGGAGGAGGGTCGACTCGGACGCCGAGGATGTCGTTGTTGTCTTCGCGGCAGACTTGGACGATGACGGGGACCTGGACTTGTTGGTGGGAACCTACGTTGAGGATTGGGTGAGGTGGTACGAGAACGAGGATGGCAAGGGAACTTTCTCGGAAGCGGTGGACGTCGCGTCCGGCTACGGTGGAGCAGCGTAAGTGGATCGGCACGCGTGTAAAGCCTCGCTCGCTGTGTGACCTTTCTCGGCCATGTTTTTTTTTTTACTCTCTCGCGTGGTATGCCGTCGCTGTTCAGTTGGGAAGTGAGTTTCTGTTGCTCTCCGTAGTACGGTAGCGTCGTCTTCTCCTGAGACCGCAGTCAATCGTGGGGGTGTTCATATGGAAAGCCGCCTTGGCCTCATCATCTTTGTGTTTGTTGCGACCCCGCACCCTGCGCAGAGCTTGGACTTCCTGACTCGCACAACATGACATACTACCACTGCCGTCCCCCCGTCGACAAAGTTTGACAACCATAGACAAGACACAAATGATCTCGTGAACCTGGTTATGTACCACATCTCATGCACATCGTACCCTATGAACACCTCCCGGCGCCGCTTCGTTCGCCCAAACCAGATCGATTGACGTCGGAGACCTGAATGGCGACGGGTCCCCTGATGTCGTCGTAGCCTTTCAGACTACCTTCCAGCTGACGTGGTTTAGCAATCTCTACGGCTTGGGCGAATTTTCGGTCGGTGCTGACATCGATACGTATGAAGACGGGGATCAGTCACGATCTGTCAAGGTGGCGGATCTCGACGGGGATGGGGACTTGGACGTGATTATGGCATCGAAACAAGGCGGTAAGCGTGCCTTGTACTTGGACAGCCGTTGAGTAGTCTGAATTGTACTGTCATGCTTGGAAACGTTGTTGTTGTTGGGAAATGTTTGGCATTAGTTGCTCATGTATCGTTGCTATGGCTCATCTGCGATGTGGTGCAGCTGTCCAAGGCACGAAAATTGTTGCCCGAAGCCCCGTCCTAAAATCTCACACTGGCCCCCAAAAAAGGCCCGCACCCACTGGGGGGGGTTCGTTAGGCTAGAACGAAGAATCGGCCCCAGTAGTGTAGCACAACGACAGAGGGACGATTCGAAACGACCACGGCGCTTTCGGGCCTGATCCTACGTGCCAGCGTGGACTCCGGCGCAGAGGGTGGGCAACACGGTACATGGTTCAAGCATACGAGCTTGAGGCCGTCAAAGCAAGCAAACGCCCGGCAATGGATGGCAATATGTATCTTCTCGCAGTATCAGCGGTTTGTGTGGTTCCACCGCCAGGAATGCCTCCCAAGTCGTCACCAGACCCCTTGTTCGGCACACGTGCTTTGCCCTTCCCGTATTATCGTTATTTGATGCCGGTTTTGGTTCCACCGCCATGAACCCCCCCCAAGTCGTCGCCAGACCCCGTGTTCGTGCTCCGCCCCATCCCGTCTCCGAACCGTATTTATTCGCGCCGTCGCCACCGCCGCCGCCAGATCGAGTCACGTGGTACGAAAATACCGACGGGGAGGCGACGTTTGCGGTCGGCGTTGATATCTCGACGACCGCCGACGGTGCTATCACGCTGGCTTTGGCGGACTTGGACGGCGACGACGACCTCGACGTCATTTCGGCGTCCGTTTTCAGCGGCTTGGCGTGGTACGAGAACTCGAACGGGAGTGGGGCGTTTTCTCTGGGCGTGAGTTTGGAACCGGCCGACGACCCTGCTGGTGGCAAGTGAGTGAATGTTTGTGTTTGTTGGTAGTATTGCTGCGTTTGATAGGTCTGGTGTTGTTCTAGGTACGGTCACATTGAGGTAGTTCGTCTGTTTTTTTACATTCTCGACTTTGCTCCCAGAGCAGAAGAACGAGAAAGAAAAAAGGTGGGCTGCAAAGCACCTCTTTACGTAAGTACGATAGCCCGTTGGTTCGGCAGGACATATGGTTTCGCGAATATAGTATGGCGTATGTTTTCGCGGTTGATTTTCGTCAAAATGATTCATTGTATTGCCTCCCATTTCCACAAAAGGGACGTCGTTACGGCGGACATCGACGGAGACGGAGACATCGACATCATCTCAGCGTCCTTCGACGGCAACCACACCGCCGGCAGCTTCCCCGACGGCCGCATTCTCTGGCTCGAGAACGACGGCTCGGGAAGCTTCGCGGAGGGGAGGGACGTCGGCTTGCTCGATTCTGCGAGGAACGTGGTGGCCGTGGACCTAGACAACGACGGGGACATCGATCTGGTGGCCTGCGACGGCGTGGGGGGGTCCATCGTGTGGTACGAGAACACGGACGGGACGGGGAATTTCTCTGAGGCCATCGACATCACCACCGATGTTGGGGTACATTCGGTGAGTGTTCCGGGCACTACAAGTGTCAGCCCGCTTGTAAGAAATATGTTTGTGAGACACCGAGGGTCAGATTTTGGGCAATCTTATGAAAATGTCCTACGAAACTGAGCATTGCGGCCGGCGCTACACTAATTCCTACGTAGAAGCCTTTGTTCGGTGGTGGGGACCAACAAGATTTGAGCCTCGCTCAAAATAGGTGTTTCTTATGAGCAGGCCGGCACTGTGTTGTTGCGAAGGCTCCTGTTCACTGCTGCTGTCGACGCCGCGCTCATAATGCGCGCAAGGACCCTATTGCTGTTGCCTCCATCCAAACGCCGCAACATCGAGACTTTCACCCTACGTCAGTACAAGGAATGAGCCAAAAATCAACGGTCTCCATCCAAACGGAGCAATGTCGAGACTCATTCGACGAATAGCACTAAGACAAAAATGTTCGAAAGGGTGTGGTAAGAGTGGGCACAGCCGAGATATGCTGGGTTTCTCACAGACAGCAAAGGCGTCGTTGTTGTTGTTGTTGTTGTTGTTGTTGGACAAGGTGCAACCTCATGCTTCGCACCATAGTGTGCCCTGTCAGCAGATATATCGCCATGGTTCGACATCGAGAATCGCGAAATCCTAGTGCACGCAGAGCGAAGGGAGCGCGGAATCATGAACCCTCGTAGCTGACGCATCGCCATATATGCCCCCGTTCTCAATTTTGTCCATGCACAACCCTGACGAAATGCCAAGCATGATCGATCCTGTTCTCATCCTGGACCGTGTACATCCCTGACAAAATACCAGGCATGATCCCGTTCTCAATATCGTTCACGCGTAACCCTGACGAAGTACCAGGCATGGTCCCGCTCTCATCCTTGTTCGCGCACCCCTGACGCAATGCCATGCATGCCCCTTGCCCACCTCCATCTCAACAACGCTTCTTACCGATTAGTTGATCGCTGTTGACCTCGACGGTGACGGCGACATCGATATAGCGACCGCAAACCGGGACGACGGCCACGTGACCTGGTACGAGAACCTCCTGATAGAAATCGAAGATGACGATGGCGGCGGCGATGCTACAGGAACGACAGCCACGACGTCGCCGACACCGGCCGTAGCCCCGTCTCCAGATGACGTCACAAGTGAGACAAAAGCCAAAACTAGGGGATTTGGGAGAGGGAGAAGATGGGTCGCTGAAAAAAGTGAGGCTGTTTTGTGGAACGCTTGCTCATGTGGAGCGATTCTTCGGTAATCGTGGGCAGGACGTGGATTGATTATGGTCTCGTTTCCTCTCTCCACGCAAGGCAGGCCTCTTCCTGCCCTAGTTTCCCGCCCAGTGCACGGTTGGCTGATGCTTGGTGCCACGAAGCTTGCCGATCACCGAATGTTGGCATACACCGCTGAATCATCTCGAGCGCAACCTGCGCTCACCGCCCGTACTACAGTTGGCCTACAGCAAAGGCGAAAACGATATTGGACCCTTGCATGGCACTGGTTGATCTAAGACCAAAACGGCATTGGATCCTCCATGGCAGCAATTTTTCGCTACGTCACACCCTACCCGCCCCCCCCCCCCCCCCCGCTTCTCCCCGCCACCGCCACCCCCCGCGTCGAAACTGAACCCTGCAACGGCATCACTGACGGACATCCATCCTTGGCTCGCTCCTTCTGCCTTCTCCTCCTACTTCTTCGCCCACTTCTCGCCTCGTCACAGCCGACCCAGCTGCAGGTAGGACTATTACCGCTGTGTTTGAGGGGTTGACTGGCACCGTTGTCATGTTTCGTGAGTTGACTGACTCTCCCAGTGGAGGTGGAGACAAGACATCACGGCCTACTCCTACCGTTGACCACACGGAGGGGTTAACTTCTGTCAGTTGAAGCATTACGGGGCCGCCGTAAGCAGTGAAACACGTCAAGTTCGGAAGCATCCCCCACGACGTTTGGAGACACGAGTTACAGCACACGGCCTCCGCCTCCACAACATGTCCTTACTTTTAGTCCCACCACCCATACACACGGTCTCAACAATAAAATACTGTTTCACGCGGAGAGAGACAGGCAAGCAAGTTACGCCTTCCATGTGTTTTGCGTCTTGACTGGCCCGAATGTATCGGTCAAAATCGATACTGTAATAGTCATTCTTACAACGGGATTAGGGAGTTGGTGACAGGCGTTTGGTTAACTCGTAGATACCGACCACCGTGGCGATGGAATGGGGTTCTTTCGAGCTTTCAGAACGAATGTACTTCTGTGGTAGGACGGCTCGAACGGGTCGGTGTCCGAACAACGACCCGGCAAGTTCGATGGGCAGAGAAGAGGAGAAACTCTGCTATAGGTGTTACACATAGTCAACGGGCCCAAAGAGTGGGAGAATCCCGACACCCTACGCGCCTATGTAAGCAGGGCATATATGATGACGTGTCGATCTTGGTGAAATCACATCGTTGTCCACCACGATAGCGATAGCTACCCATTTTCACCACCAACCAATGCCCTGATCCCGCCCCAAAACATCTCAAATCTGTCGCTTCTTCGCTGTTGAAGACACCGGCAGCAGCGACAGCGAAAGCGCCGATGACCTTTCGACGAACGAGGTGTTGATTGCGGTGGTGTCGACGGCGGCGAGCGCGATGTTTCTGGGCTTGGTCAAGATTCTCTGGGACAGAAAACGTTCTGGGCTTGACCAAGAATATCCGGAACAGAAGATCTAGGGTGGCGGCCGTTGAGACCGCCGTGGAATATTCGAATGGCTTGCAGAGTTGTCACCAGGCCGTTGGGTAGATGTGGTACGCTTGCGCGGATACGTCGGTGTACAGTTAGCGCCCGCACTTGAGAACCGCTAGTTTTCGCCGAGGCTGGGGTTCTTGGTTCATAGGGTTAGGCTACAAATTTCCCGCTACAGCAGGGGTGGGGGGGTGGGGGTGTACTCATAGTCGTGCATGCCGTAGTCGTTTGACCAATGACCTCGCATTCCTACAAAGCCGGGACGGAGCACGCCGGGTTCTCACCGGACCAGGCTCTCACATCACCAAGCGCGAAGCGCCGTGAGGTATTCGGCGAGTCGCATGAAGGGTGATCTGCCTCCTGCTAAGGGTGTTCGGCATCTTGTGCTTACTTCCTTGCGTACGGATGACAGCTGCGTATGACTTAATTTGTTTTCTGGGGTGCTTTCACTTCCAGAGACAGTTGTAAGCACTGTGTAACTGCCTCGAGTGTTTGACCAATTTAACACAACGTGGTGCGATTATCCGCTTTGCGCGGAGTGAGGGTTCTCGACCCCGCACAACATAATCTACTCGGCCACCATTCATGGTTACCTAAAAAAACAACAAAAAAGGCAAAAAAAAAAAGCGGGAACTTAGTTGCCGAGCTCACGAAGTGATCGGCTTGTTTTACAACATCTCTGCCAAGCGACGAAAACCCAACCCCGATGGCAAACACCGGGGAGGGGCGGCAGTGGGGGGGGCTTCTATTGTACCGGGGTGTGGCCCGAGATTTTACCGACGCTATACCGCGGCGCCGGCACTATTCAGAGTACAGAACGACTTGGTTTTTCAGTGTGTGCGAGCCGAAAACACGGGCACTTGTACCGGAAACCGGCACTATAGAGGGCGCCCCACTGTATAGGGTAGGGGTTCTTAGCCTGTCTCACAATGGTGCTCAAGTTCTGAGTGGTATGTTTGAATTAGTTTTTGGGCATGAAGTTCTTCACTGCGCTGTTGTCGAGTGGGAGCGCTCTTCTACGGGGGAGAGGAGTGCGTGCACCCATACGGGGTTTCTTGTAAAAGTCGTAGAGAAGCGAGTTCGAAAGTCCGTTCGCTCATTCTCGCCGGTGATTGGTTGGTTGCTGTTGTGTGGTTGTTCCGCGTATTTATGAGGAGATTTTCTTCACGGCGAGGTGAAAGTGTAGAGGTAAGTTTGCTTGTTTCATGTTCCCCTTGTTTCCGGACGTGTCTCGTCGAATCGAGAGGTTGGGTAAGGGTTTTAGGGTCGGGGCCTCTTTTAGGCTGGAAGGTTTCTGGCTTCACGATGATACCGTAAGAGATGGCGCATGAATGTTGCATGATGATGACTGTTCCTGAAGAACGTCCTCCACGGAATGTAGGGCTTTGAGATTGTTTGGTCTTTTGGTTTCATTGAGGTTCCGTCGTAATTGTCGTCTAGACCCACAGACAAGACCGGGTGACGATGTGAGTGACTCGTTAAGAAACCGACTTCGCTTCCGTGAACCATTTTGGTTGCTCAGCCGTAGCTTCGGAGGGCTACATATTTTGCCTCGCGGGCCTGGTCGTATCCCATGGGAAACATGGGACGTCCCATGGCTGTCCCATGGGATATCCCATACGGACTCCCAGCAATTAATGTAAGTAAGTACCCCCGTACCCATCCGTGTTGTTAGTTAGTGAACCAATTTTTGAAACACAGAGTTTTCCTTGCCGCCTGTGGGGGGCATGGATGGATGGGGAGAACTAGTGTGTGTTGGGTAGCTTAATTAAGAGCTTTCCTGTTCGCCGAAGCAGACAGAAACAGCAGCTTGACTATTTTATAGGAAAAATATACGGTGTGTCTAAACCCCCCCCCGGGGGGGGATTATCGTAAATCCCCCCCCGTCTGTATCTCCGCCCAAACAGCACCTATCGAGCCGGGACATGCACAGCTGTGTTGCTGTGAGGTAGGGCAATCACGACATACTTCGTACAGCGGAAACGGTGCAGGTTTGGTGGAGCCATGGCTGATGGGCAAAATATATCTGTTGTCCCAACCTGCCCCCCGGGGGGGGATTAGTGTCTAAATCCCCCCCCGTCTGTATCTCCGCCCACGAGGCACCAATCGAGCCAAGACACGCACGGCTGTGTTGCTCTGAGGTAGGGCTATCACGACATACCTCGTACAGCGGAAACGGTGCAGGTTTGGTGCAGCCATGGCTGATGGGCAAAACATATCTGTTGTCCCAACCTGCCCCCCGGGGGGGGATTAGTGTCTAAATCCCCCCCCGTCTGTATCTCCGCCGGAAATGTGGACGAAGACGGACAACCGCTTCCTCTACACGACGACGACTTTGACCAGATACGCAATTTGCGCCTCAAGCTCAACATTCTCCAGGTCGCACCACCTGATACCGATCTGGAGAGAGACTCGTTAGCTGAAGAACCTGCAGAGGACAACACCATGTGGGCTCGTACATCGCTGCCAGCTTTCTTGGAATTGATCGCCGGCTTCCCTATCGAACTGGTCGCGGCCGTTCGATTTCGGCGAACAATCCTAGCCACCTCGTCGCATTCGGGCCTCACAACTTCCATTTGTGTTCCTGTTTACAGCTTTTGCGGCGCGGACTGCCTTGCAGGCACTACTTCGCGGTTCTTGTCAACCTCATCGGGAGAACTGGCGGGGAGGACGAGTTGAGCTTTACGCATGCCTTCGACGGTGCGTGTGTCCACAACCGTTGGCGTCAATCAGACGACGGAAAGGTTTTGCCATGGAGCGTCTCAGCCGTGCTGTCGTCGTCAGGCCACGGCGAAGGATGGGACGGGCATCACCAAGGAAGCGATGACCACTGCTGGGGACCGACATGCGATGAATCGTTCGATGGCGCACACCCCGCTGAACGCGCGGTGCGGGCCGCGCAGGATAGAAGCGCTGCCGACAAACGTCGCGTCTACGCCCATCTCATGGCGAAGAACAAGGAGAACGTAGGAGACATTATGAGGTCCGTACCCCTTCACCAAGCACTGTCTGTCCAGGTCAAGATTGACGATTTCCTCGGGTATCTGCTGAAGGAGGCCGCGGGAGGCACAGGAGGACCCCAAAATCCTGGGCAAGCACCCAAGAAAGGGAGACCTAAGAAGGACGGCAAAGAGGGAGCTGGCAACCCTGCGGGCCAGAGAGGAAAATCCCGTCAGACTAGGAGAATGAAGGACTTCAGCGACGTGCCACGGACGAACAAGAGGAGAAAGCTGAAAGGTGCTAATACCAGCACCTAACCAGCTGCCCTTGCGTGTGTACCTTAGTCTGACTTTCACGTCGCATTGACGACCGGGAGGCAACACGTTGGTGGCGGCGAACATACGTTCATCACCTATGTCTCAACATGTTTGGGATTGTTTTCGATCGTTTGCGAGTATTTGCGTTGTCGTTGTTTTTTCTTCGTTGTTTTTTTTTGGAGAGCGACACCAAACGAATGAGTCATCAATCCCTGATGTGAGGAACGTTACATTTGGGCACGGTACAATGTATAGACATAGCGATCACAGCAGGGGTGCAGTGCTGCTGCGTGCTGTGTGTTGTGCGTTCATCATCTTTTACAGTTCTACCTCGGGTCTTGTGCGGCCATCAGAGCCTTGTACAGAGGTGCGAGGTTCATGGTGGGGTATTAGACATACCCCCCCCCCCTCCCCCTGCAGCAGCACATCCGTAGTTTACCCCACCGGCGGTGTTACCACCTGAACGGAACCCTTCGGGCTACGTCGTTTGGGCTAACGATGGGTCATACGGTGGACGGTAGCCCTACATCGAAGAAACACAGTTGACATGTCCTGTGTCGACTGAAGTCTTGTGTGACGACATACCGCTGGGGGGGGTAAACAAGGCTATAATGTACCCCACCAGTGAGACGGCGGTGTTCGCATCCCACTGGGTGTGTGTAAAACTGTGGGCAGGAATACTTGATGTGATGGTCGCCTCACCTGCTGCCCGCTGCTGTGCGCTGTACGTGCATGTTTTCACACACTTCTACCGGTGTTCGTCAGTCGATTGGTGCCCTGGGGGCGGAGAAACAGACGGGGGGGGATTTAGACACTAATCCCCCCCCGGGGGGCAGGTTGAGGCAACAGACATACTGTGACCATCAGCCATATGGCTGCACTAAACCTGCACCCCTTCCACTGTACGAGGTATCTCGCGATAGCCCTACATCACGGCAACACAGCCTTGCGTGTCCGGGCTCGATTGGTGCCTCGTGGGCGGAGATACAGACGGGGGGGGATTTAGACACACCGAAAAATATACGTACATGAAATCACAGAAACACTACGCGTTCGATAGATAGATGTAACCGCAGTCGAAAGGGGATGGATGGTTATATTGAAGTTTTTGCAGTGAGTGGAGGGAAACCGGTTGGGTACTAATACAGTATGCCTTTATTGAAGGGATCCAAACCATCGTGAGGCTTGAGCAACGCCATGTTCGCGCGATGGAGAAGAAATAAACGTCGCCTGCTCGATTCACGAGGTTTTCAGCGAGGTCCGTGATCTCCGCCGAGTATTCAATTTGTTATGTGGTTTTGCCCCCCTTCCTCCGACCTTTGTGCCGGAGGGTGCTCCCACACCAGAGAGTGCTCCCGGCCCGCGCAGCTCAGGGAGCTCACTGGCCGCAGCCCCATGTCCACATCTCGACACAGACCGCTGCAACCAGCGCAACCTCGCAACCTCAATCAAGCACACACAGAGTCTATTCGTTGTTTTGCCGCACCCTCAACTCCAACTCGGTCCAACTCGGTCTGTTTTCGGGAAAAACGGTTGAAAGACCCGCCACTCGTTCGTCTGTGTGGAGTATTTCCTGTACCTAACTCGTACCTAACTCGGGTCGGGTCTGCACGTGTGCACTCGGAACTCGGGGCGCACAAATAAATCCGGTTATAGACCCCCAGCATCCTAGATTAACCGCGAAGGTGTACACGGACAGATAGATAGACTAGATGAGAACAACAGGCTAA